AGGTCTGGGGGATGAGCAAGGCTGTGGGCTGAGGTGGGTGGGTGCAGCTGGGACAGCTTTGCGCATGTTCACAGGGTGTGCTGTGAGCAGGGATCAGAGGCTGCTGTCCTCCCTCCTGGGGTGGGTGGAGAGGTGCCTGCTCCCTGTTCTGCCTGCTGCCCAGCTGCCCCTGGCAGTGAGGGAATCCCACCCCGACAATCAGCATTGTTCCAAGCAGAGTCATGGGACTTGTGTGTGATGTGTCCCCAGCCTGTCCTGGTGTCCTCACCTGAGCACTATGTCCAGTGTCCAGCCAGGGACCCTCCGCCCCCATTCCACCTACCCCATTGCCCTTCCTGAGAAAGAAGCTAAGAGGTTCTGCAGACACCCCCCCTACACCCCAGCTAGGGAAGCAAGGCAGGGGGTGGCGGGGCAGCTCTTCAGTGAGGCCGTGACTCTTGGAGGAGCTAAAAGGCCACATGGGGTCTGGAAAGGGGCACAGAGGGGCGTGGTTGGGCAGTCAGTGTCTGGGGTCTTCTCTCTGGCAGCTACCAGCCCCCCTTCAGGGAGCTGCAGTTCTGGGAATATACACAGTGGAAGGGAGAGTGGGCTGAAAGGAAGAAGGCCATCTCCAATTCACCAGTACTGGTGGCAAGAAGGGCTCTGGGGAAGGGAGGCTGGTGGGCTGCAGGCTTCGGGCTGGCCGCCTCTGGCTGAGGGGTATGTGAGGGACTGCACACGTCCGCAGGGAGATGGTGCCCAGGCTCCGTTAACCGCTACTCCGTTCCCACCCTCTCTGTCGGACACACTAGGCTCCAGGACCTTTCCCATAAGCGCCTCACTGCCTGGCATTGAGCTAAGAGCATCAGCAGAGGGGACGGGATGGGGTTGGACGGGATGGTCCAAGGCCCAGCCTTCATGAACCTGAGGGTCCTGTGACAGTCCAAGGGCCTCTCCCTCCTCAGTGCCCTGCCTTTGACCAGCCTCAGTCCTCCTGCCCACCCACGGTGGCCTGGAGACCTGCCAGCTGCTGTGCCTAGGGCGAGGTGCAGGGAGAGACAGCCGCAGCTGCATCTTGTGAGTCTGGATTTGCTCCCTGCCTAGGCATCAGCAGGGTGGTCGTCAGCCTAGAGGGCAGGAGCTTCAGGGACACGGTGGGGGTACCAAATAAAGACGAGGCCTGCAGCTGGTGCCTCTTAGCGGGGCATCTGAGGCCGGGGATGGACAAGAAGCTCCCGGTGCTCCAAAGGCAAGACCTGAGTCTGGTCTGCCTCTGGAGTCGTGCCTGGCACACAGCACAGACTCTGGGTGTGTTTGCTGGCCAACCCAAAGCCCTGGCAGCCCCACAGCGCATCTGGCTGGATCTGCTTCTGGCATGGGTGGCCAAGAATCAGTCAGGTTCCCAAGAGCTTTGGTTACTGGCCTGGCTTCCAAATTGGGAGGGTTCCATGTAGGAACTGGGGCTCCAGGGGTCCAGGAGAGCAGCTGCCCCTCCTGTTCCTTGCTATGAGGCTGAGCTTTGGATTTTAATTCTTCAGTAAGCAGAGGCTGGCAGAGCAGAGGCTGCGGCAGGTCAAAGTGCTCCTGGGGACAGGGTGGTTACAGTACAACCAATCTCAGTATCAGACAGACCCAGGTTCAAGACCCAGCTGTCCTACTTGGATGAGTTCCTTAACCCATTTGTGCTTCTTTTCCTCATCTGTAAAATGGGAATAAAACCAGTGTCTACCCAATAGGCTTGTAAGGATTTAATGAAACAATGTGTGCAAAGTCTGGTGCCTTTAAAACAGAAGTCCAGAGCACTGACCAATCAGAACAGGCACTGGTAGTGAACAACCTGTGCTGCCCTGCAGGCTGCATCTCAGCCCTGATACCAGGGTTTACCACAAGCTTGATATTAGTGTTATCAATATTACAGAAGCTGTTATCATTAATGTAGCAGAAGGGCAAAGGGGGCCCAAATCAGGAGATAGGTTAACCCCCTGGGAACAACAAAAAGAACCTCCCAGAATGAGTGAAAGCGTGAGCCATCTGCTGAGAGCAAACATTTTCAGAGACTGTAGATATTAGCTTGGGAGATGTGGATCCCAGTCCCATCAGGAAACCAGTCTTTAACTGCAGTGGAGAGGCCAGAGCTGCATGAAGTACACAGACGTTCACTGCATGAAGAAAGACTGGGTCCAGCAGGGAGGGCCCAAGGGCTAAGAATTGAGCGTGGGGACAAACACGGACTCTGGGAGAGAAGAGCTGCCTCTGGGACACCTGTCCTCAGTGGTGGGCCCGGTCTCGCCATGACCTGGACAAACAGCTTGCCTAGGCCACTGGGCACTCAGCTGGCACGGGTGGTATTCCCACCACTGGATAATTTGTCCCCGTGGGGGCTATTACTGAGAATTCTATCATGACACCTCAGTCCTGTGTGACAGTTGGCTCTGGTTCCTCTGATACAAGTAAGTTTTTTTGGCCAGCAGAGCAGAGGACAGACTTTGGGTGACAGTGTCCCCTTTAAGGTGCCACCTTCCCCCCAGTCTTGTGACATCTGGCCAGGAAATGGGAGGGAGGGTCAAAGGTCAGAGGCAGACTTTCTTCTGAACAAATTTTATGTAACATGCTAGATGGGATTCAAACACTGAGAGTAAACAGGTCTCCCAAATGAAATCAGTGTTTCAGAGTCCAGAGTGAGCCATCAGGAGCACCTGCCCTTGGGTCAAATCAGGTTTTCCAACAACTGAAACATACAAATGATGACTATGGATCAAAGGGGGTGTTTTCAATCAAAATGAAACAATGGAAATAAACAGGGGTGTGGGCCACCTAGTGATCAGAATTCCCAGAAAGCTCTTTATTCCTTTTTCAGAGCATTTATCTCAGTCAGGGTGGGGCGAGAGTCAGATTGAGACTGCCTCCCTATCAGAGACCAAGGCTTTTATCTGGCCCACTGCCTGCTGGAGAGTCCAACAATGTCTGTTGTATTAATGGACGATTGATCATAATAGTAAACATTTATTCCGTGCTTACCAAGTGCCAGAGGCAGGGCTGGGCACTCTATGAAGATGACCTCATTCACTTCCTTTTGAAACAGTCTGTTAGGAAGGAAACACACTAGCCCCACTTTACAGATGAGAAACTAAGGCTCAGAGGGGTTAAGTCATCTGACCAAGATCACACAATAGTAAGGGCAAAGATTTGGGCTCAGAGCTGTTGGACATCAAAGCTGAGGTGGGAAAATGATGCGTAGAGTCGGGGAGGCTTCTCCAGTCATTGCCTCGTGGGGAGACATGGTTTGTGAGTTTAATTCCATTTCAACCAGCCCCAAGGGCCACTCACCGTTTTGTCTTGTTTTATTTTGCCTATGCCAAAAAATGCTTTACTGAGGAGTGCTCAAAAGGCCCATTTAAATTGTGTAATTCAGTGGTTTCAGTATATTCACAGATACGGATAATCATCACCACTGTCAATTTTAGAACATTTTCATCACCACAAATGGAACTTGGTATTGTTTCCTAACACCCTCTTATTCTCCCATTCCCCTCAGCCCCAAGCAGCCACTAATGTACTTTCTGTCTTTATAGATTTGCCTCTTCTGGACATTTCGTCTGGACAGGATCATACAATTTGTAGTCTTTTGTGACTGGCTTCCTTCATTTACTGTATTCAAGGCTTATCCATGTTGTAGCAGGTATCAGAACCTCATTCTTTTTACGGCTGAATAATATTCCCTTGTATAAGCCACATTTTGTTTATTCATTTTTCCCTTTTGGATTGCTTCCACCTTTGGGCTAATGTGAATAGTGCTGCTATGAACATTAATGTACAAGTTTTTGTGTGGATATATTTTTTCTCTTGAGTGTACATTTAGGAGTGGAATTGCTGAGTCACACGATAACTCTATGGTTAACATTTTGTGGAACTGCTGAATTGTTTTACATTCCCAGCAGCAGTGAATGAGGGTTTTGATTTCACCATATCCTCACCAACACTTGCTATTTTCTGTCTTTTTTATTTTTTTAACTTAAGCCATCTTAATGGATGCGAAGTACTACCTCATTGTGGGGTTTTTTTTTAATTAATTTGTTTATTTCTTGGCTGCGTTGGGTCTTCGTTGGCTGGCTTTCTCTAGTTGCAGCGAGCGGGGGCTACCCGTTGTTGCAGTGTGCGGGCTTCTCATTGTGGTGGCTTCTCTTGTTGCGGCTCTAAGCACACGGGCTTCAGTAGTTGTGGCACATGGGCTTAGTTGCTCCATGACATGTGGGATCTTCTTGGACCAGGGCTCGAACCCATGTCCCCTGCATTGGCAGGTGGATTCTTACCCTCTGTACCACCAGGAAAGCCCCTCATTGTGGTTTTGATTTGCATTCTCCTAATGACTAATGATGTTGAGCATCTTTTCATATCTTCTCTGGAAAAATGTTCAAATCTTTTGCCCATTTTTTTCAAGCTTTTAAACCTTTTCTTTATTGATCCCCAAGCCTTATATTTAGTCTTTCTGCCCATTTTTAAGTTGTCTTTTTTCCCGTTGAGTTGTAAGAGCTCTTTATACATTCTTCTTTCTTTTTTAAAAAATTTATTTAGGGCTTAGCTGCTCCGTGGCGTGTGGGATCTTCCCAGACCAGGACTCGAACCCGTGTCCCCTGCATTGGCGGGCGGATTCTTAGCCACTGCACCACCAGGGAAGTCCCTCTTTATACATTCTTTTTTTTTTATAATTTATTTATTGTTTCTGGCTGCGTTGGGTCTTTGTTGCTGCTTCGTTGCTTTTCTCTCGTTGCAGCGAGCGGGGGCTACTCTTCATCGCAGTGCGCGGGCTTCTCACTGCGGTGGCTGCTCTTGTTGCGGAGCACAGGGGTGCGAGCACAGGCACGCGGGCTTCAGTAGTTGTGGCACGTGGGCTCAGTAGTTGTGGCTCGAGGACGCTAGAGCACAGGCTCAGTAGTTGTGGCACACGGGCTTAGTTGCTCCGCGGCATGTGGGATCTTCCAGGACCAGGGCTCGAATCTGTGTCCCCTGCATTGGCAGGCAGATTCTTAACCACTGCGCCACCAGGGAAGCCCTCTTTATACATTCTTGATACAAGTCCCTTAAATATGATTTGCAAATATTTTCTTCCATTCTGTGGGTTGTCTTTTCACTTTCTTGATGGGGTGATCCTTAGATGCTCAAAAGTATTTTATTTTGATGAAGTACAATTTACGTATTTTTCTTTTGTTGCTTGTGCTTTTGGTGTCATATCTAAAGAACCATTGACCAAGCCAAGGTCCCAAAGGTTTAACCTTACGTTTACTTCTAGGAGTTTTCAGAGCTGACTTTTGAATGTTCTTGGGGCAACCCCCTGAGCAGACCCCAAGCTACCCTGGCTGCAACCCTCCACAAAACCCCCACTCTAATCCCGAAGAGTCTGCTTACATTTCAGCCTTTCCCCTCCAAGGTTTCATATGGGGTGGCCAACTGTGGACAGGCTTCCAGTGAGGTGTTGGGGACAGCTTGAAGGTTTAGGATGCAGGCTGGTGAGAGAGGAGGTGGCTAGTGTCACACTCTGGGCACCAGGCCCTGGGACCAAGTTTCCAGGCTGAGAAAGCACCTGCTGGGGCCAACCGACCAACCTACCTTGGCAGCTGGGTGGGTCCTTCCAGGAGGGGCTGGGCCCACTGCTGTCATCTCCACCCTCCCTACTCCTCCATTGCTAGGAGCTGGGCCAGCAGGTCCACTCTAGAAAAGAAGCGTGTAGAAAGTGACTCCACCACACTTGGCTTTCCTTATTTCTATTTACACTGATTGTGTGGCGGCCCTCTTACAGATTTATGAACAGAGGCTGGTGACCTCACGGTTGCAGGACTTTAGGACCTAGGAGATCCTTTTGGGAAACCCAGGTGTGGGAGGCCAGCTCTATTGCTCCGGCTGCGGTAGATGACTGGGTGGATGGGTGTGGACACAGAGAGGGGCACCAGGGCCAGGAAAGAGCAGCTCAGATGTCCCGGGCCGGCCAATACCCGCCCCGCTGGGCGCCCAGCACTTCTTTGGAAAGCCCGCCGCCAGCCCGCCCCGCGCGCCCAGCTGGTGGATTGGGCCGGAACCGCGGGCGGGGCGGAGCCAGCGCGGCCCGATTTGGGGCGGTGTGAGCCGACGCAGCGCGGCTCCGCCCCGAGCATCCCGAGCCGACCCGACTGCGCCCGGCAGAGCCGCAGGGTGAGTGTCATGGCCGCTTCCGAGCAGCGACAGCCCGGGGAGCTGCTGGCCAAGGCCCGGAGAGCCTTCCTGGAGGAGTTCGGGGCCGAGCCCGAGCTGGCCGTGTCGGCCCCGGGCCGCGTCAACCTCATCGGGGAGCACACGGACTACAACCAGGGCCTGGTGCTGCCCATGGTGAGGGGCTGCGGGGGAGGCGCCATCTCCCCGCTTGCACTGTTGGGCGGGCCGCTCCGAACTTTTACTCCAGCCGAGTGTGGGGGACGAGCACGTGGGAGAGACCCTAGGACGGGGCATTTCACACGTTGGAAGGGAGGAAACGGGGAATCCGCGAGGAAGTAGGCTATGGACCGCTGGTCCTCGCCATCTCCTTGGGAGCCACCTCAGATTGTGGGGGGATGCGGAACGGGGCCCAACTGTAAACCGAGGCGAAGTAGCCCTAAGCCTCCTGGTCCGGCCCGTTCAGTTCGCAGAGGAGGGAGTGGAGGCACAGAGAGGGCTAGTGATCTGCTCAAGGTCACACAGCTGAGATGGAGCTGCCTTAGCCTGGGGCCATGTCCATCCCACTGTGCATCTTCCAAAATGGGAAGGCGTCAGAAAGAGCTCGTCTGATTCTGTTTTCCTACTGACCCACAGCCAGGAGCCCACGCTTAGGGCAGAGTCCAGGTCTGCACTCCCGCTGCACTGGCCCTGCCCCTGAAGACCTATGGGGTGGGACCCAAGCCCCCCAAGGCCAGATGGACATGCAGGCTCTTCCCTGAGACACTCCCTATTCCCTTCATGTTGAGCCTGGAGGTCACCTCCTTGTCTGTCCCTGGCCCCTTGGTAGTGGAAGTTTTGCATACTATTTGTTTCTTCTGCCAGGCGCTGGAGCTTGGGACTGTGCTGGTGGGCAGCCCCCGGGCAGATGGGCTTATCTCCCTCCTTACCACCTCTGAGGATGCCGACGAGCCCCGCCGGCTGCAGTTTCCCCTGCCCACAACCCAGCGGCCACTGGAGCCTGGGGCCCCCCACTGGGCCAACTACGTCAAGGGAGTGATTCAGCACTACCCAGGTATGGGGCCCAGGCCTGGGTCAAATTCCTGTCTCTCAGCCGCGAAGCTCGTTAGCTCATCTAATCCACTGTGGGGTAGGGCATGCAGCGTGGAGCATCCCCATGGTACAGGTGAGGAGACTGATGCCCGCAGAGGTTCTAGAACTTGCCCTGGGTTGCCCATGACACGATTGGAGGAGCCAGGGTTCAAACCCCAGCCCGTTGGTCTCCAGAGCCCTAAACCAGGAGAACTAGGAGTCTGTGTCCCAGGAACCTCAGGGTAGGAGGATGGAGGGCGGTGGACCCCTTGGCCCAACAGGTTGGTGGCCTCTGACAATTGAGACACAGTTCCCCAGGAGCAGCTGCCAGGCAGTTGCCTCCTTTATACCAGGATACATGCCCTTCTTGTGCTCATCCTCCCAGATGGCCCGTCTTACCGTCATCTATTCTTTCTCCTGCAGCTGCCCCCCTCCCTGGCTTCAGTGCAGTGGTGGTCAGCTCAGTGCCCCTGGGGGGTGGGCTGTCCAGCTCAGCATCCCTGGAAGTGGCCACGTATACCTTCCTGCAGCAGCTCTGCCCAGGTACCTCCTAGACCCCAGCTCCCAACGCAACCCTCCTTCCCTGAGGTCCTGTGATCAGAGCTTCCTACCCCAATTGTGGCTTTGGGGGAGTGGGTGGGGAATCTCCCTGGAGTATCACTGGACACACTGGGGGCTGCTCCCACCCTCCCACCCCTAGTGCCCCCTCCTGGGCCCCAGCCTTCCCACCTTGCCCTGTGCTGCAGACTCGGGGACAGTAGCCGCCCGGGCCCGGGTGTGTCAGCGGGCTGAGCACAGCTTCGCAGGGGTGCCCTGTGGCATCATGGACCAGCTCATCGCACTGCTGGGGCAGAAAGGCCACGCGTTGCTCATTGACTGCAGGTCAGGGGCTCCCCTTGTCCCCTCCCACCTCGTAGGAGAGCTCCTGGATGAAACATGCGCGGCAAACAGACGCTTGGCCTTGTCATCTTCCTGGCTCCATCTCCATCTCAGGTCCCTGGAGACAAGCCTGGTGCCGTTGTTGGATCCCAAGCTGGCTGTGCTCATCACCAACTCCAACGTCCGCCACTCTTTGGGCTCCAGCGAGTATCCCCTGCGGCGGCGCCAGTGTGAAGAAGTGGCCCGGGCGCTGGGCAAGGAGAGCCTTCGTGAGGTGCAGCTGGAGGAGCTGGAGGGTGAGAGCTGGCTGGGTGCACTGTGTCCTGGAGATGGCTGGGCACCCTGGGGTGAGGGGGGCTTCCGGGCTCTCGTTGTGGCTTTGACCCGGATGTACGTCCCCTCACCTCCAGGGACCTCTGCCAAGCTCTGCCCACTCCCCCAACACTGCTGACTTAGGACTGCTTGAAATCTCCGTATTGCTTTTTCTAATGTGAGGATTAAGTATCCACCATGGAAAATACAGAAAAGTACAAAGACGAGGACTTTCCTGGTGGTGCAGTGGTTAAGAATCTGCCTGCCAATGCAGGGGACACGGGTTCGAGCCCTGGTCCGGGAAGATCCCACATGCCGCAGAGCAGCTAAGCCCGTGAGCCACAACTACTGAGCCTACGCTCTAGAGCCCATGTACCACAACTGCTGAAGCCTGAGTGCCCAGAGCCCGTGCTCCGCAACAAGAGAAGCCACCATGAGGAGCCCGCACACCACAACGAAGAGTAGCCCCTGCTCGCCACAACTAGAGAAAGCCCGTGTGCAGCAATGAAGACCCAACGCAGCCAAAAAAAAAAAAGTACAAAGAAGAAAATAACAAGCTATAAGATCACTACCCAGAGATAGCCACTATTAGCATTTTAGTATATTTCCTTCCAGTGTTTTTCTACATCTGTATCTTTTTAAAAATTAATTAATTAAATTTTTTTTTCTTTTTGGCTGCATTTTTTTTTTTTTTTTTTTTTTGCTGTATGCGGGCCTCTCACTGTTGTGGCCTCTCCTGTTGCGGAGCAACAGGCTCCGGACGGGCAGGCTCAGCGGCCATGGCTCACGGGCACAGCCGCTCCGCCGCATGTGGGATCTTCCCGGACCGGGGCACGAACCTGTGTCCCCTGCATCGGCAGGCGGACTCTCAACCACTGTGCCACCAGGGAAGTCCTGCATTGGGTCTTCGTTGCTGTGCATGGGCTTCAGTAGTTGTGGCGCGCTGGAGCTACTCTTCGTTGTGGTGTGCGTACTTCTCATTGCGGTGGCTTATCTTGTGGAGCACGGGCTCTAGGTGTGCAGGCTTCAGTATCTGTGGCACGTGGACTTCAGTAGTTGTGGCTCGCAGGCTCTAGAGTGCAGGCTCAGTAGTTGTGGCACACGGACTTAGTTGCTCCGCGGCACGTGGGATCTTCCCGGACCAGGGCTCGAACCCGTGTCCCTTGCATTGGCAGGCGGATTCTTAACCACTGTACCACCAGGGAAGTCCCAGTTTTAAAATTTTTAATTGAAATATCCCTGACTTACAATGTTATGTTAGTTTCAACATCTGTATTCTCAAGATTGAGTATACGCAGTGTTGCCACCTGCCCTTTTTTTTTTTTACTTAACATTATCTCAGAGCCCTTCTCTATGTCATGAAAGGCCTGTCATCAACATGGCTTTTTAAAGCTACATAGCATTTCAGCATCTAGGTGCACTGTAATTTACTTAACCGTTTTCTGGTAATCACACCTAACACCGTGATGGACTTTTTTTTATATAAATTTATTTATTTTTGGCTGTGTTGGGTCTTCGTTGCTGCACACAGGCTTTCTCTAGTTGTGACGAGCGGGGGCTACTCTTTGTTGCGGTGTGCGTACTTCTCATTGCGGTGGCTTCTCGTTGTGGAGCACGGGCTCTAGGTGCGTGGGCTTCAGTAGTTGTGGCGTGCAGGCTCAGTAATTGTGGCTTGCGGGCTCTAGAGCACAGGCTCAGTAGTTGTGACGCATGGGCTTAGTTGCTCCACGGCATGTGGGATCTTCCTGGAACAGGGCTCAAACCCTTGTCCCCTGCATTGGCAGGTGGATTCTTAACCACTGCGCCGCCAGGGAAGTCCCTGTGATGGGTTGTTTTTTTTGTTTGTTTGTTTGTTTTTATTTTTGGCTGCATTGGGTCTTCGTTGCTGCACGCAGGTTTTCTCCAGTTGTGGTGAGCGGGGGCTACTCTTCATTGTGGTGCTCGGGCTTCTCACTGCGGTGGCGTCTCTTGTTGTGGAGCACAGGATCTAGGTACACGGGCTTCAGTAGTTGTGGCTCACGGTCTCTAGGAGTGCAGGCTCAGTAGTTGTGGCTCGTGGGCTCTAGAGCGCAGGCTCAGTAATTGTGGTGCGTGGGCTTAGTTGCTCCGCGGCATGTGGGATCTTCCAGGACCAGGGCTCGAACCTGTGTCCCCTGCATTGGCAGGCGGACTCTCAATCACTGCGCCACCAGGGAAGCCCCTGGACGCCTCTCCTTTTGACTTCCCCTTTTCTGTTATTTCCTCACCCTTGTCGCTGCTGTCTGAAACTTCAGGACACTGAGTCATCCCTGCCCGCCTTTCCTTCCTCCCCACACCCGGCCTCTCTTGGTCTCTGACTGTTTTAACAGCTGCCATCTCCCGGCGCTGGCTTCTCCCAGCAGGGCCCTCTGCGCAAGGCAGTCACTTTCATCAACTAGAGCTCAGCTCCATGCCGCCCCTGCTCCCAAAACCTCTCTGGCGCCCAGAGTCAAGTTGTAAAGTCCTAAGCGCTCGGGGCTGCCGTTAGCGACTCAGCTTGCTCTGCCGGCTTCAGCGTTAGCCAGTGGGACAGCTTGCTGGTTCCCTGGGGTGCCCCGGGCAG